AGCGGGCTGTCGGCGATCTAGCTCTTTTCTACCGTTACACCAACGGGCTTTGCTCCTCAGAGCTATCTTCCATGATGCCGCCGCGCGATGTGTCTGCCAGACAGACTCGCCTGACTTTGGCGTCCCTTCCTAACCGTGTCGAACTTCGTACATCCAGAACCGGCCGATACAACCGCTCCTTTGTCTCGAGGGTGTCGAGATTGTGGAACACTCTACAAGAAGAAGCTTTTCCCAGTTCTATTAACCTTAAGGCAGTTCAAAAATCGTATTAATAAAATTTTTTTGGGATCATCATAGCAGCCGCGGTGTTCCGGCATTTAGGATTCTGCCTGCGCGGCTGCTTCGATATAAAAAAAGCTATAAAGTTTGTTCACTGTCCCACCTATCATAGTACACTTTGAAGCTATTCACCGACGTAGCATTAACCACACTTTCCGGTAAACTATTCAAAGTGCAGTATATGCGATTGGGTACAAACCACAGCCAGGCTGGCGAGCTAAACGGCTTTTTTTGCAGTTTAGATCTGTAACGGCGGAGATTGCTGCTAATTGATACTGTTAATGTTGTCGCCATTGGGTTCAAATACAGTTTATTGATTTCTTCCCAAGTTTGCAACATTTGCAGCTGTCTGTATCCATCTGGACTGCATCTGCATGATCTAAGCAAATTTATCTAACCAGCTAGGACCGGAAACATCTGAATGATCTGAATATTCTTGTGATAAGTTAGCATGAAATTGATTACTTCGTTATTGCTATAATCCTATCACAAAACATCGTTCTTTGTGATGTAGCCCACTCCGAGTTTTTCTGAACTTAATGTTCCTATGTATCTATTTTAAAGCTTTGGTGTATGTGTTAAGAACTAGAAAAACTTGCTTATTGTTGAATAACTACACAGGGTGAGAGGTCAAGAACTTCGTTATTTCAAAGACAGTGAAGAAACCTACTTACATAGATTGTAACAAACTGTAGGCTCCTTACTTGGAAAACATGTCAGTCTCTACGGTGTGATTCAAGGCTAGGTGATTTGGCAAAGCTCTCTTTGGAAGAGGAAAATTTGCGTTATATGTTAGAAGGTTTGGATTTCTGCATTTGGAACTTATATATTTTGTCCGAAAACATTCAACTTTCACAGTTAAATAGCAAGCGATTCTTCAAAATGAGCTTGTTGAGCAGGTTCTAAATCTTGCGTGTGCTCTATACAGTCTTAGTAAACGCAAAGTGTAGGTTTTTCTCATAAATAATATGGTACACCCTGTATATTTTTACGGTTTTCCTTTCTATACTTTGATATACACTTTTGGGGGACCGAATTAGTAGAATTTTAAGTTATTTGCAGATTTCCACAAATTATAATTCGATGGAAAGGGAAGGAAGGGGATCTTAAGCGAATGGGTGGTTGTGATTTATAGAACGCTACAAATAACTCAAAGATCTAGCAATTTAACCTCACAAAATGTTATACTAATATTAAGCTTATAAAAAGTATAGTTCAAAACCATGAAAATATGCAGGGTGTCAAATGTTTTGAGTCCATTTCTTTTATATACACAGGGTATTTCAAATGTAACGTTCACCATTGAGATCTCGGAAAACTGTGAGAGGTACGAAGTCCGTTAAATGGAGCAAATTTACTTATTTAGGTAATCAACAAGATGCCGCTTCTATCGCTTCAGAATTTAAAATAGCTCCGGAGACAGACGGGATAATCCGAATTCTCCCAATATCGTATTTTCTTCTGATTTTATTTGTAGTGGGATTTCAAAATAAATTGCACAGTGACAGCTTTTTTCAGCTCTATTTTTTCTTATGGACGCCATATTGGATTTTTGCACAGATGACAATAGACTTTAATTCCATAAGTGTGTAATACGTCATATTTATGTACATTGACATTATTCCAAAAAAGCAGAGTTTTCTAGGTAGGCCTTGAAATAATCAGATAGTCATTTGTTTGGCTTACGAAAATATCGCATGTTAACATTGACACTTTTTCTTCTCTACAATATGACATAATCAGAATTTCAACATGGCGTTTCATCTATTGTTCTCCAGCATCAACTGTATTTTTTTCTTACAGATATTTCCAAAAATTAGTTATTTTAGAAAAACTGAAGTAGGGCCTTGAAATTATCAGATTTCATTTGTTTTGTATGCAATATCCAATAAAAGCCCTTAAATTGAACACAGCAACAGAGTTTGGAAGACTGAGAGGACGACTAATAAATCGAGCAGAAACAATCCACAAAATAACGGACAAAATTTTGAACACTTGCAACATCCAAATTGTTTTTAAAATCCCATCTCAAAGTCAACAAGAAGTAAAAGTTATTTTGGGATAAATCTGGAATGCGAAATCTGATAATTTCAAGACCTAGGCCTAAGAACTTCTGCTTTTTTCAAGTAAAAAAGGTTTAGCAATGTCAATGTATGACGTTTTATACATTTTTTTAATCAGAATTATGAACTTCACTCATCTGAGTAAAAATCCAATATGGCGCCCATAAGAAAAAATAAAGTTGATGCTGAACGCAGGGTATGAAACGTCATATTGAAATTATAATCACGCCAGGTTGTAGTTGAGAAAATGTGGAAATGTTGATGTGTAACTTATTTTGAATTCCCGCAATGAATAGAGTCAGGAAGAATTTAAAACGATTTCGAAAAAAATCGGTTTGACGATTCTCTGCGGAAGTACTTTGAATTTTGAAGCTTTATAAGGGCATATTGAGGATTATCTAAATGCAACTTTGCCCCCATTTAAGCGACTTCGTAACTCTTACGTTTGCTGCTCTATCTGCAAATGTGACCAGTGTCATATTTTTATAGTTTCTGTAGATAACTTTTTGGACATTTTTTGAATAACTCAGATATCGACTGATAACGTATTAAAAACTGTGGCTTGGATAAGAGAAAAATTGAGATTCGTTACAGAAAGTAGAATTAGACTTTGGCAGATTAGTTGCTACTCCTCACGCACATTGACGTTGCATATGCAAAAAAAAAAAAAAAATTGATGTGTTGGATTGGAATTCAGTACGGTGAAAAAACTTGAGACAAAATTCACTACACCATCTGTCAAAGACAGCAGATACACATACTGCCACACGTTGATGTTTCTTTATATACAGCACCTAAATAGCTCAGTAACTAGTAATCAATACCCATGAGTATTTACGAGTATATCAATGTTTTTTTCGTTGAAAGGGCCTATCCGAATACGTAATTAAAAGTACGTCATTTCATTAAAAAAATCAACTTAAGTGGGTCAAAATTGGGAGAACCCTTATAATTGCGACTTCTTCAGACACACGTCACCAAATACCATTTATAATAACCCACAAATACTTTTCTTTGAGAATTTTTTGTTTAGGAGTAATACCTTGTATATTTTTGCAGCCACTTACTACCTATTTCATATATGCTAACGTTGAGGCTTTGAGTGACCTAAAGAGTGTTATACATATAAGCTTGATCATTAGCTATGAAAAATCCTGTATTTTTTAAGCATTAAGGATATTGAAGCATTAGCTGTTACAAAGAAGTATTCGAATTATTCCTTATAGCGCAGTTTACCATAAGAAACTAATTACAAAAGATATGGTTTCAAAGTCTCACTCTCATTGCCTGCACGGTCATGTTCTATCGTTTTGCTAACTATTTCAGTCGGTCGAAGCCTAAAATGTATTTGTTTCAGTGGGTGTTCCATTTTCTCAGTTACTAAGTATAGGATGTTCCACTGATTATTATTGATTATATCGTGAGACAAAAAACGGTATTGTTCTCGATTTCCTTACCAAGAATCTAGACCAGTGGATTAAAATAACGGTACTAAATAATAAGTTATTCATAAATATTGCGCATGACTATCATATTTATTTATTGTTGGGATATCTTTCATACCACTCCTCTAGAATGGGATAATGTACATATACTGAAAGAAATAGAAAACACAACATTGAAAAATGAGCTATTTAGAATGACTGGGCACTTTTCACCCATGTTAATGGCAACTGGGCATTTTACGTGAAGTGGACGGCGAAAAATAAGTGAGGTCTCAAAATTCATTCATATTGGGTCTGTTTAAATATCTAGTTGGTGTAGGTCTTTTTTTCGTTGCACGTTCATTTGCTAAGTTACGGGCTTTGAAAGAGAAGCCGTATTTCCAATTGAGATTTTTTTCGAAAAATGATCATAGCGTGGTCTGTTGTTGCAATATCTGGCAAACCAGTTGACCTGAATAAGCGCCTAACGTCATACCTAGGGCGACATGTATGTACATAAAAATAAGTACCTCCTGAATACCATTTCAAAGCTCATGATGTATTTTAAACACGCTTTAGGCTATATTTTGGAGTAAAAAAATTGAAAACAAAAAATTTGAAGTATCCCAAAGTTTCGTTTGAAGTGCTTACTTCCGATTTATAACCTTAAGTTTGTTTCGAATTTGAATTTTTTATAAAAAAGTACAAAAAACTTAGGTATGAAACGCTATGTTTCATATGAGAATATAATAATTGTCAGTTCGAAAAATTTCTTAGAAAAAAAAACCAATTTCAAATACGGCTTTCCTTTCGAAGCCCGTAACTTACCAAATAAACGTGGCATGAAAAAAAACCGTTTTCTCTTTCACGCCTACTAGAAGTTCAAACAGGCCCTATATGAATGAATTTTAAAACCTCACTTTTTTTGCTGTCCGCTTCACGTGTAGTGCCCCAATTTTCAGACTACGTAAGAGCGCATGAAAATCTAAGCACACAAAAGGTATTTTTTTGCTTAGCGAAACGAGAAGAACGAATTATTGGTTTCCGGAACTAGAGTGAAAAGGGTTTGCGAACATAAAGACATTTTCGTTTTGATGGAAGCTGAGAGATCCAAGAAGACCAGTAAATAACAATGGAAACCTTTACAGCTTATTTGGTTTCAGATAGAAGATGGGACCACGAACTTTATGCCATAGCACACCATTCACACTAGCTATGTTATTATGTATTATAGTGATCTTAGGACAAGCAAATGGGGCAGCACTTATAAGCAGTTCAAATGACAAGCAATTAGAAAACTTGAAGGGTAGTAATAAGACAAACCAGACAAGCATTAATGATGATTACTATGATTATGATAGTGTCAGCCAAGAAATGAAAGAATCTAAGGTAGGTAACATCTTCGGTCTCGTATGTAAGAATTCTGTCTGTGGTAATCACACAACATACTACATCACAACAAATAAAGGACATTGGCTATACTTTGCGAACTACACTGCCACGCAACATTAACCGGACGAACAAAATTTTGTTCAAATTAAATTTGAAATAAATTTTTAACCTTTACATCAATTTCGTTGATTTTTTAGTCAATAAACTTTTGAACACCCTGTGGAAATATTGGATTAATGAATAATGTGTCTTCTTATGAGAGTTGGAAGCCCCAACTTTTCTCTACAGTTCTTTTTTTTATTGATGTCAATATCTCAATTATTGAAGAATATATGCCGTTTTAAAGATAATCATGCGAATCATAGCCATAAACAATTTATTTTAAAAAATTATAGTGACAACATTGGTAAGATAACTATGCGAATCATAAACATAAAATAATTTAACTGAAAAAATGACACTGACATCATTGGTAATTAGAAATTGTTATCAAAAACGAGTATTTCCTCCCGTGCTTGAATAGCACCTCTCATCCTCTCTGGCACAGACTCAATTAAACCAGCTATTGTGTCTTGGCGTATTTGCTCCCTCTCTTTTAGCATCGCCTGTTCCAACGCAGCTACAGTTTAAAATTCTCCATCGTTCTGCCTAAGTCTTCTTCCTAATGTATCCCACATGTACTCAATGGGTTAAGATCCGGACACCTTGGAGGCCAGTCTAGTACCTGAATTCCAACACTGTTGAGGTATTTATTGCCTGGTCATTCTGGCTATATGTCGCCCAGCATTATCTTGCATTAGGAGAAAATTTTCTCGTATAAAGGGCATATGAGGAACCACATGTTCTTCCAAACACTCTATAATGTAAATGTCGGCAGTAAGGTGCCCTCCTCGTATCGAAACAAGATCTGTGCGGGATTCCAAAGAAATACCACCCCATACTATCACTACTCCACCACCAAATTGCACTCTAGGAGCGAAACAACTTTGAGCATAGCGTTCTCCACGCCTTCTCCCCACTCTTTGGCGACCATCAGGTGAATGTCTCGTAAAACGAGACTCGTCTGTAAAAAGAACGTTTTTCGAGTCGTTCATACCCCAATCTGCATGAGTTCGAGAAAATACCAAGCGCTGTCTTCGATGACTACATTCAATAGAGGACCTATAGCAGGTACACAAGATGATAGGTTTTTTTCTCTCAACCTTCGGCGTACGGTATCAGGTGAAACTATGATACCATGAATATCATCTAATCTTCGAGTCAAAGCTGTAGCATTAACTGAACTTGAAGTCTCAGAAACCGATCTTCAACTGCGTTTGTTGCTTTCCGTCCTCCCTGCCCAGGTTTTCTTGAATAAGAACCAGTTTCTCTAAATCTTTGTATCGCATCGAATACCGTACTGCGTGGAACGGCAAGCCTTTCTGCGATATACCGAATGTTACGACCATCATCTTGTAAATCTACAGCTTGCGCTACTTGTCACGGTGTTATTTTTGTTGAGTATTGCTTGACAAGAATCTCTTTGACATGTCATAAAAAGGCTAACAGACACAGCCTACATGAAACAACTTCTTACACGGCAAAGCTAACTTCAAACAATTTCTTGTTTATGGCTATGATTCGCATGATTTTCTTCAAAACAGCATATATTCTTCAATAATTGAGATACTGACAATAATCAAAAAAATAAGTATTGAGAAAAGTCGAGGCTTAAAATTTTCACACGAAGACACATTCTCCAGTAATCCAATGTTTCCACAGGGTGTTTAGAATTTAGGGCAAAATGCACCTTTTAGTTAAACCCTGTATAACAACAAACATTTTCAATTTATGTTGCAAGATCGGCAGTCGACAATGATCACAATGGAATTGTCTACAGCTTGACGAAAAATTTAACGAAATTGATGCAAAGCTTAAAAAGTTATTTAAAATTTATAATTTGAACAAAATTTTGTTTGGCAGTGTAGTTAATGCAGAACTGATATATAGGAATATATTACTCCTAATATTATTACTATAATATATAAATAAAACGATTTACCTCACCCCTCAAATAGCTGAGGAGCTTGGAATAACACTGCTCTGGGTACCAGGACGCGAAGAGCACAAGGCGGTTGAGTTAGCCCGAAAAGGTGCAGCAAATCGCCTTGTAGATCCAGAGCGTTTCTCTAGGGGTACGAGAATACGCATCAAGCAATCAATAATAATAATAATAATAATCATAATAATAATAATAATAATCAATAACTCAGCGTTATAAAAATCTGAATAGACTGGAAAGTTACATAAATTTGATTTTACGTGCATTAATAGTTCTACCATCATAATATTTGGAACTGTCATCATACTGTACTTTTTGAAAAGTTCTTTGCACGATGTACGCGGTGCTACACCAGCTATTGTTCTCAATGCCCTTTTCTCTGATTTAAGAACCAGGCAGCAGCGGTCTCCTGATCAATCGCCGTGCGCTGTGCGGGTTCGAATCCCGTCCCAGGAGAAATTTTTATCTTCGCTATGGATGTTGTGATTGTCCGTAGGTGGTAGACGGTCTCTGACTGTCGAACGCGGAGGTACCACCCGGCGGATCTCATAGGCGGAGCCAGAATGTGTGCATGTTTCATGCGCACCTGTTCCCTCGCCAGCGTCCGTGTGGCGTCCCCCCCTGTATCCCGCTATAGCCCCACGGTACCCAATGGGTGTTTAGGCCTTAGGCCTTCGTGGTAGTTGGAGTATAAAAACAAAATCCTTTTCACATAACTTGATGCTCCCCAAAAAATAATGGCATATTTTACTCTAGAAGCAAACTGTGCATGATAATATGAAATTATAACTTTCTCTGTAGCATACTTGTCGGTGCCTCCAGATTGCAAAACAAACAGATGACAAGCTTTTACATAGTTTGCTTATGTGGTGCTCCCACTGAAGAGCTACATCAAGATGTATTCCTAGAAACCTTGTATTTGCTACTTGAACCAACGACCTCCCATTGACCTTGACTAATTGGCTCTCATTGGTTGTGCTGGAACGAGGAGTACAATTCATGAAGACAGTCTTTTTTGCGTTCAGTGACAATTGAAGCCTAGAAAAATAGCTTGTAAATTTATTTATTATGCATTTTAGGTTATCCATGCATGACTTTATATTGCTTTCAAAACACACGTAGTTGTAATCCTTAGCATACATAACAAAATCAGCCGTGATGCTACCTACTACTGAAAAGTCGTTAACATACAGCAAAAAAAGTAATGGGCCTAGGATCAGGTACACCGATCTAGACATCATGCCGTAAAGAATAACCATCCAACAACATCCATAGTCTGCTCCCTTAGAGCAAGATATGACATGACCCAATCCTGTATTTTTCCACGTAATCGAAAATTATATAGCTTAGGACTTAAAATTTGATGACTGACCATATCAAATGCCTTACTCAGGTCCATAAACAGTCACTTTTCTCCCTTATCTAAATATTCATATAATTTGCTAATCAACTGTAGAATAGCCGTTTGAACATTCATTTGTTACCTAAAGCCATGTTGACAGTGTGCCAAAACATCTTTTTCCTTGAGGCAGGCTATTATTTTTTCAAATATATCTCGCTCTAAAATCTTCGAGACTGCACTCAGAGTAGTTAAGGGCTGTTTTAAAAAATTTGGGGAAAATACCTTCAACCAGTGACATGTTGACAAGGTGTGTAAGCGGATAGACAATAAAATTTACCCCAGCAACTAACAAATTGTTAGAAATATGATCCATTCCAACTGAGTTAGACTTCTTCAAACTCATTATTATATTATAAACGGGTTCTTCAGAAACGGAACTGATAAAAGAATTTACCAAAAAAAGTCCCTAGAATAGAGGATTGGCTAGTCATGACAAAGGCAGGCAAAATAGTTCATCAAAGAATGACCGTACGCATTTTGCTGAGGACCTTTGACAACTAAATCGACATATGAGGCTGTTGGGTCCCGTAGAAGATGCCACATGTTAGCTCTGAAGAGAGCATGAGGAAACCCTAGCACATTTATTGTACTACTGCAAAGGCCTGGCAAGATATTTGGAATCATCAATCCAGCGAATAACTACATGCAAAGCTCTGTATCAATGCTATCAAGTTTGATTCAAGGATCAAGGATGAGCACAGTGCTTTAGGCAGTGTCGCAGTGGGGCTTATGGTGTTTATGATAACATCTTAATGTAATCTGTGACCTGTAGCCTTTGATACTATTGTGCACTTCAAAAGCTTCGAAAGTAATGACACTACTTTGTCTATCAGAAAACAAAGTTCCTCAAACTGACATTAATCTACTTTTTGGGCTTGCTTATTATACTTTTAACAATTTGTCCATAGATAAAAAACGAATAGGGCACTAGAATTTGAAGAAGTGATCAATGTTAGCTTGAAATATTTGTTTTTGTGAGTGCGTGAGTTATTTTCGTTACTTATCAGGCGAAAGCGAATTACGGTGAACTTGCGAATGAAAATACTCTCTATACATGCATATGTCCATCACGGGTTGTTTATATTTTTTCCAGAAACAGACGCAAGCAGGAACTTCGGAAGAAATTCCTGCACCAGAGCCTCTAGTCTTGCCTGGCTACAATCTTCCTGAAAACATTTTCAATAAAGGAAAACCATTTTATATTGAAAAGGACCCGGAAACGGGTAAAATCGACTTCAGCAAAAAGTCCAGCGAAAGCACTAGTAAATTTTACGATGATCATGACTATTATGATGACGAGGTTATGGAAGCTAGTGAATCAGTGAAACACATTGCTAAGATAGACGGGTGAGTCACTATATGGTCATCATCATCAACTTTCATACTCTCCTATCAACACCGTGCTAATATTTCGGTAAGCTCGAAACTTATCACCGTTTTGAGAAAGTGTCCCCTGAAGATTGTGTTCAACCTTTACCATTCTACGCTTTAAAATAGCTTCGATATTTTCTTACTAGACATCGGCGTCGACGGTGAAAGAAGCTCTATATATATATATATCTTGTTTTTCAGGTCCGCCTTAGAGGACAACAAAGGAACTGCAAATAATAACATCTATGATAAAAACAACATAGATAGGAAAGACGGGTATATAGATAATAGCTACAGTTCACACAAACATAGCAACGATATTAATCAACTGACCACGAATTTCCATGATTTTTTGAATTTACCTGTTAAGTACAATCCTCAAAAATATGTTTATCCATTAATATCAAGCTCATATGCCAGTACAAAGATACAAGGGAGCGTGAACAAGCTACACAATCACAAGGATTTTGATAGATATAATGATAAGAATTACTCTTATAACTCAGGTAAGTGACAGATGGCTTAGTAATACATAGTCAGCCAATCATCTTCAATGCTAAAAATATGATATCCAGTTTAAAAGTATTTTTCCAGACTACTGAAGAATCTATACAGATTAAGAAAATATTGATATATTCCAAGTAAGCTCTGGAATCACAAGTTTACGCCTTTAGTATAAACAAATCCTGCAATATCTATCTGTACCCTTTGATCAGATGAAGTACAATTCTTGTATTTGAACTTAAATGTCTCTTTTATCCTTGAAGGCACAAAAGGTACAGACAAATTCGTCCAAACTACCAGTGTTGGAAGCAACAATATTGGAAGTGACTATTTCAACAATAATGCTAACAAGGATGTCTACAATGGTAACACTAACAAAGTAGTAACCACAAGCTCTACAACAACGAAATATGAGAAAGACTACGCAGACTACGAGAACGAAGGCATGGACTATTCTTACAATAGTCAAGGCATGGATAAAGGAAATGAACTAGAGAAGGGGGAAAATAAGAAGAAAGGTACTATGAATGAGACCGAAAATACTGTTAGTACCAGCAGTACGGAGGAAGTAAAGCATGAAAAGGAAAACGAGGATAAAGCCACTTCCAATGTGATGGATACAGGTAATGGAGCTCCTCTTTGATAATCACCATGCTGGGGCGCGTTGAGTCTGCCAGACGGATCTGCCAGGCTTTTGGCTCCCATCCTAAGTCGAACGTCATGCATCCAGCACTACTACGACCGCCTTCAAGCTCCTTCTTGTAGCCGCAGTACTTCGGCATTCAGGTTTCTGTCCACGCGGCTACATCAATATTCATGAAATAATACACTGCTAACTCTAATGTTTATCCTTTTGCTTACAGGTATGGGCAACCACCCAGACTTTGGAGATGATTTCGATTACTACGACGACTATACGACAAATCAGGCTAGCAAAGCTTCTTCTACTACCCAGAAAACAAATATCAATGATTTGTATCTCACAACGAAGTCGCCCAAGACTGAAGCAACGACTACAATGAAAACAACCATGAAGCTCAATGTATTTTCAATTACAACCACAAAAAGGCCACTCAGTCTATTTGAACAGCTATTTGGGGACTATGATGAGACAGTGGCACCTGTAACTAGCAGTTCTACTAGCAGCACTCCTGTGTCTACTACAATCAGCACCACCACTACAACCAAAATGCCTTCTACTTCTACAAGGTACTAGTCAATTTCTTGAAACATTAAATAAATAATGTTGAAATCAGTGATAAACACAGGATTTGTGACATGACAATTTTTGGGTGTATCTTATGTATCTTGAGACACTTAAATCAAATCTAAAAACAGAATTTTTCTATCACCCGCAGATTTTCGGTAACATCTACCTCTACCTAACATCTCATATTACTGCATTTCTCGGCGCTTATGCGATGACGCACATATATAATGTTAAGACCTGTCTATTCCTGTTTATTATATGCGAGCTCTATGTTTAGAGATATTGCGTATTAGTAGACTAATAACAGCCGAGTCAGTTACATTTTCTGTGTTGAAGAGTACTGGGATGTTCTGAGTACTGTTATTTTTTGTTAAAACGGTGTGTTGTTTTTAGTTTATTGTGGTCGATACTAGCTTTATGAACAATGCCTAGAAATTGTGTGAATAGTTCGAACAGTTTTTGTTATGTGTGCGGAGACCTAACTTTTAAATCGCAAAAACGTACTTTTATTCCGATTGTGTTGAAAGCATATGAACTTTATTTTGGAATTGAAGTTGACGACCAAGATAAACTATGGGTCCCTCATATATGTTGTGTAATGTTGTTAACAGGTTGGTTAAGAGGTGACAATCGTTAAATGCCCTTTGCGGCACCATTGGAGACAACCGAGAGACCATACTACTGATTGCTATTTTGCCTCACAAATATTAAAGGTATTGGACCAAAATCGAAACATACTGTTAACCTTTGCGGTTCGTTAAGCATAGTGATGAACTTTCTGTCCCAGTTCCACCATAATCTTGGTCTTTGGATGAAAAAGTCGAATCCACCGATTCTGGAAGTGACGGTACAGAAAGCGTAAAAATTTCCCATCCTTCGTTTGACCTGCCAGGATGTTCAACGGCGCCACATTTGATCCCTTAGGGCGAACTTAATGACTTAGTTCGACAATTAAATTTGTAAAAATCCCAGTCAGAACTTTTAGCGTCAAGATTAAAAGGATGGAATCTTCTCCACGGTGATGTTAACATTACTTTTTACCGAAAAGGGCAACAAGACCTCACACTGTTTCCGTCAAGAAAGGGAGTCGATATATTGCTCCGATGTCAACAATTTGTTTGACGCGTTAGGACAGAAACATGATCCAAATGATTGGCGCCTGTTCATTGATTCCTCTAAGCTTAGTTTATCAGCGTTATTAACGCTAATAAATATCCATCTTTACCTATTGTGTACACAGTTCATATGTAGGAACCATATGAAGATATGCGAGTTATAGCCCTTCTTCTTAGAATGCAACTGGGATATATCAAATATTGTAGTTTTCTTTGTCAATCGGACAGTCGTGCGCGAGATCGTTATTATGAACAGAAGGAGTGGCACTGCGTCAGGTATTAACTTCGGAGTTCAAAAACATTGCTCATGAACCACTAGTTGACCCAAAAACGTGTTGCTTCCACCTTTGCATATTAAGTTGGGACTGATAAAATTTTTTGTGAAAGCTATGGATCGAAATGGAAGAGGCTTTCTGCATTTAATGCATTTAAAACAAACACTTCCAAAACTTAGTCAGTCAAAAATTGAAGAGGGCATATTTGTGCGTCCACAAGTACGGAAAATCATGAAGGATGATGTATTTGACAGTGCTCTAAATGAAACTCAATTACGAGCTTGGAATGATTTTACTGCAAATTTTTAGGCAATGTGAAGGCGGACAATTATAAAGATACTGTGAGTGACCTTATTAAAGCTAATAAAGGAATGGGATGTAACATGTCTCAAAAAGTTCACTTTATGGATTCTCATCTCGATTTTTTCCGGAAAATTTAGGTGCAATAAGTGATGAACATGGTGAACGGTTCCACCAAGACATTTCGGCTATGGAAAAACGGTATCAAGGCAAATGGAGTGTCAATTTGCATGCTGATTATTGTTGAACATTGTTAAGAGATACTTTAAGAGCAACATATCGCCGTAAAACATCGACAAAAGCATTATGAGATTAATGTTCATTAGTACTCTTACACACATATCCTTATATTTTACCAGTATAAGCAGCAAATAAAGTGCCTTATTGCAAGAAAACTGTGGGTGATAGAAAAAATCGAATGCTACTTCTAGCTTTTTACATAATAACCATCTTGTTTTGTCCATGTCACAAAAAATAATTTTAATTTTGTTCACCGTTGTAATGGTGGTCATTAAAAAAGTGATTGAAGCATATAGGTTTGATTTAACGGCCAGACATGAGAGCCTCGGGTTCAGATCTCCGCCTCGGATGTTTAATTCTGAGCCGTGGATGTTGTGTTTTGTGGTGTCTATATCACGTGCGTGGATGCAGTATTAACGATAGACACATCTCATCGCTGGAGCTAGCTGGTTGTATCGGTTACCACTAGATGGCTTATGGAGTAGTACAGTGTTGATGTCACGGGATTAATAAGAAGGGTCATAGGTGGCCTAGCTGCTAGGCTTCGCCTCCCCGCCACTACTACTACTAACGGCCAGACAATGGAGCCATATTTGTTAAATATATGGCTTACAACTGTTTTCAGTCATGATATTTAAGTTTATGATACTTGAAGTAACTACTTCCGTTATTACTTTTAGCACCAAAATATCCTATTCGGAAAGCTCAGATAGTCAGAAAAATGGACACGCGAATCCAAGTTCACCAATTGACCAGAACTATGATTATATGGATGAATATAATGACAAGTACGAACACGAAGACAACTTGGCTGTTCCCAGTGATAACGTTATTAAGAAGCAGGAACATGAAGAAGATGATTTGAAAATTGAGCCTTTGGATGGGAATAATCAAGTCAATACTCATAACACAAAATATCACGTTGATTTAGGACATTCTGAAGGTAACTGGAAATAATACAGATAGCGGTTTAACTAATATTGATCATGTTAAAATACCAACTGTAGTAACAAACCAGTAGTACAGCTTTCGTTCATCTCACTACAGACGTCCTACGAGGCAGCAGCGGTGGCCGGATCAGTCGCCGTGCGCTGCGCGGGTACGAATCCCGTCTCAAGAGAAATTTTTCTCTTGGCTATGGATGTTGTTATTGTCCGTAGGTGGTAGAAGGTCTCTGACTATCGAACGCGAAGGTACCACCCGGCGGATCTCGTAGGCGGGGACAGAATGTGTGCACGTTGCATCCACACGTGTTCCCTCGCCAGAGTCCGTGTGGCGTCCCCCCTTCCACTGTTTGCCCTATAGCACCGCGGTGCCCCATGGGTGTTTAGGCCTTACGCCTTCGAGATAGTTGGAGTATAAAAAAATGACAGCTGTTTCATGCTCTTTCTCTCCTTAGCATGGTGTAGGCTTGGTGTCAGGAAGGATAACCAATGAAATATAAGTAACTACCCTTCATCAATAGTATAAGGGGTCTATCGACATAAGACTGCACAAAGTGCCATATCTAACCATAATCGACTAATGCAAGAATAAAAACAGTGAGTTACTTGTAGCAACTGTATCCCAGTTCGCATTGTCAACCGGTCAGCACTGTGGCTGCTAGTTTCTGGTAATAAATGGCACCCGAGGATGTTTGTTCAGCTTTCATTCGTTGTGCTACCTGATACCAAGCCTATCATGCTGAGGAGTTGCCGTTTAGCACGAAAGAGCTGTCCATGGTTGAGCGTCTATGGTCCGGCGAACGAAAGCTATATTACCTGCTTGTTCAACTGGATTTGGGGTGTACGAGCCCGTTCCCACTTCAGTTGGCCCACTTTAAGATTTGTACCAAAATATGCCTTTATAAACTAAACATGACGAAACTATTTACTTCTAAAACAATGTATTTTCTCAAAAAGATTTTAGATACACTCTAGTCGTAAAAAATACATATTTGAAATCACTTACACCTATAACTAATAGAACATCAGAACAAATAAACAATGTGAGAATAAATGCGCGAAGTTAACAAAGCAACAATTGAAAGATTACCATTGGGTAACATCACCTTTATTTTTTATTACGGCTGAAATTCTTTGGGGCATAGTGTTAACCAAGTTTTGGCAAAAATTTGATGTGAAACAATCCCATATTTCTTGAAGCTTTTGTCTCAGTTCGGTGATTATACGAGCAGGATGTTGTTGTAGAACTTTTTTCATCTCGTGCCGCAAATTTTCAATAGGTGACAGATCTGGACTGCTAGAAACCCATTTCAAAAGTGGTACATTATCTTCTTCCATCCATTTTATAGCCTTTATTGAGGTATGGTACGCTGCACCATCTTGCTGAAACACAAAATCTTGGCCGGATGTCAAACATGCTTCCATCACTGGTTAAAGCGATTCTTCTAAAATTGACAAATATTTGTTTGTACCTACATTTCCATCAATAAAATGAAGCTTTCCTACTCCTTTTGATGACATACTGCCACAGACCATAATGGATGCAGGCAATTTCACTTTTCTCTTCAGACAGTCAACATGAAATGCTTATTTTTTTTGCGAATAACTCTACTGCGAGTGTCACCAACACAAACTTCGAATCGGGCCTCATCACTCCATTGTATTGCACACCATCGTTGAGGTGTCCATTGTCTATGTTCTTTATAGCCCATCTAAGCTGATTTTTCTTTTGCAGTGGAGTTAATAGTGGCTTTTCTTTGGCCTATAAACAAGTTGTGCAACTTTAGAGATTTTACTTCACTTTTTTGTATAAGAAGACTTACCTTGCAAGTGCTAAATCCCAGTTTGTGGGTCTCTCTATGAGTTGTGGACCTCGAAATTCTAATTTCAACAGCGTCACTTCACAGAGCACTTAATTGTAAATAATTGGCACGCCTGTTTTTCACGATTATTCTTCTTAATGCTCTTCGGTCGGCATTTGTGATATTACTTTTTTTCACATATCGTGGCTTAATATTAACTGAACCAGTTACGTTATATATTCTAACAATATTTCTCACACTGTACCGCGATAAGTCTAACAACGTTGCAATTTCTATGTTTGATTTCCCAGATTTAAAAAATTTAATTTTGAGAACCTTAACTACCCAAAGCTATTTTAAACGTATTCTGACAGCTGTGTTTATTAAAAACAATTGTCATGGCTTTTATTTTTCACAGCCACCTATGCGTTATAGACTTATTTTGCATTGAAATGAAAATAGGTTGATATGCTGTAATTGCAACATGTGTCATTTTTATGCTGCAAATTTGATTAGGGAGTGATGAAGTTGGTGTTTTCTACTATATATTATCAAAATATTCATTGTTAATATTTTAAACCTATAACACCCTGCTACATTTTTATTATTTGTGTTTGATAAGAAGAAAACTAAGATTTCAATAGTTTGGGCCAACTGAAGCGGGAAGTGGCTCATATAGGAACATACTTTCCTGTTACAAAGTTGCCGACGTTTCTGATGAAATTTTTGACTTCTTCAGGGCTCTACACAAAAAAATTCCTAAAACACGAGCTTTACATATACGTCAATTAGTAACTTAAATAATAAAAACGAAATAAATGTTACTTATTCCTTGACATTACATAAAACGAGTTCATTAAACTCATCCCCGAATTTCATTAACAAGATAGCAAATCCCATCATATACCCACTAAAAAATTAAAAATGAAAAAAGATAAAGTGATTAGATGGATGTTCAAAAAACGATTGAAAAGTTCTTTCCGTTCATAAGAAACTATAATTGTAAACTCACCCTTTTACTTCGAAACTGTGGTGCTCAAAAGTCTAACGTTATGCACATCTTAGATATCATTTAGGCTGTACCTATGATCAATATAACAAAACGACAGACTGTTACGAGCTAGACACAGATTGATGGAAATGAGAAAGGTATTTCTGAATAATAAAGATTTGACCTACTTTCTGTAATTTTTGATATTTTGCCTCTTGCTCATAAATATTATGTGGTGGTGGATTGTGCCTTTATGAAATGACTGATGTCTGTTCGTTTGCTTACTGCATTATTGTGCTCCAAAATTTCCTGGAAAATCATTTTTTATTATTATTATTTCTACATAGGATCTCGCAAGAATCAAAATTACATGATTTTCTAAAAACATGTATTGTACTAGGGTCAAGTGGTGCAAAAACGAGACGATTTTTAAATCTTTTAATTTTTTGTCAACAAAAAACTGGACTTTAAGGCTTTGTTATATTGCCCTGTATATAGAAAGCCATCTAGTATACCTCACGTTAAAAAAAGTTCATAATATTCATGATGAAGGGCGTTTTTGTTAAAAAACTGTCTCGTTTTTAACCACTATTTAGGCTAAAAATGAGACAGTGAGTGGTTAAAAACAAGACACTGTATTTTCTGGCCTTTTAGTCGTTTTACATCAGTGTGGCAAAATATGAGACCCTGGGGAGTAAAAACGAGACATACTGCAAGGGTTTTAAAGCGTTTAGTAAGTCAAATAACATAGTTAGGTTTTAAATTGTGACAACGTTCTTAAAGAAAACTCACATACTTAAATACAAAACTATGTTTATTAAACTAAAAAGAAAACAAATCCAAAAACAAGTTAACCATACCTAATTCAAAAAAGGGGTAAAACAAGATTTTCAATAGGATTTTAAGAGCTAAAATAAAAACTTATTATTCTAACGTATTTTGTACTACATATTATTGATCGACGCATTTTTCAAAGTCGATAGGAAACCAATATTGCTGAGAGATACGACAGGTCTTACTTTCTATTTCTGTCTGGGGAAGAGTCATTTTTATGTCAGTTTTGTCGATGAAGTACTTTTCCTCAATGGCCGGAAAAATAAATTTAAATCCTTTGCGCCTCAGATATTTTACTTCTACATCGCTCTCAAAAACTTTAAGGATTTCTGCCACGTAGTAAACTTGCGCTTTTGCGTTTATTTGACTTAGTCTATTGCGCTTACAAAAATTTTTAAACGAATCTTTCCCAGGCTTTCCTTCCTTAAACTGGGTAGTAAGGTGGTTTTCTTGTATATAGGTATGAACTATTGCTTGTATCTCTGGTTTAGTGAGAGAAACCCCCATTTTTCCATAATTTTTATCTTATCACTTAAGTCTACTTCCATTTCTTTGGTTAGAGAAGTTTTTCTTCCCTGTTTACCAAGTGAACCAGTACGTCTTCTCGAAAGGGCAGATTTGTCAATTTTAAACTGTTTAGCTGCATTTCTAAGAGATAAAGTGCCATTATCTATTAGTTTTAGGGCTGTTTCCATGTTCTTTATGTCGTAGGGGCGCTTTTTGGAACCGTAAACCTTCGGCATTATTATCAAAGGTATAAAAGCTGTCTTGTTTTTTACCTGGCAGGTGTCTTGTTTTTAAACTTTGTGGTGTCTTGTTTTTGCACCTGTTATTCACGACGTGCCTGCTTGCCAACAAATAAAAATAGACAAAATTCGATATGGAATGTCATAGCCGCATTTGTTATTTTGAAAACGCGATACTTGCCGAGTCTCTACGATCACGTACAGCGGCGCAACAGGAAAAGTTTGTAAATACAATTTAAAAGATTTTTTAAGCAAAATGCACAATCAGATGCGATATTGTTTTTCTCGATGTTTGTGTTTACGTTTATTTATTATTCATTACATATTTCAATTGTATATATGTGGGAGTAATTTGTAACGTATTTTGTACAATGTTATTGTTTTTCTGCATTGGGAAAAACTGAATGTCTTGTTTTTGACCGAAATTTCGGCTGTCTCATTTTTGCACCACTTGACCCTAGTTGTGTGTTCCTCTTTTAGGTGGAACTTCTTAAAATCTCTTTTGTGCTCTGATATTCTGGTTTTCAAGTATCTTTCTGTTGTCCCTATATATACTTCATTACAATCATTGCCCGGAATATAACATTCGATTATTGTTCTGTTGGAATTTTGTCTTTAAGCTTTGTAATTTTAGATCACCGAGAGGAAAATAGCCCAAAATATGATGACGCCAATCAAAAACATGACGGAATCAAAGACAAAGTTGATGATACAAGAAAAATTGTTACATCTATGCCTATAGATACAAAAGACGATGATGATACATACAATGGCAACAGACACCAGTACACAGAATCTCCAAAGGTTGAGATAACCTCAACAGTAGTGTCGATTTCTACACCATCAACTGTTCCTACAGTTAAAGTCACTTCAATGCCTTTGGGAGATAATCATGTTACTTCAGGCTCATCTAATCCTGGTATGCATATTAACAAAGATCCTATCATAGTTGCAACGCAGAACTTGAAGGAAAAACTCAATGGAGAGAAAGTCATGCCCAAGCCGTTCGATAAAGGTATGAAGATTAAACCTTGACCTAACCAATAAGAATAGAGTGCTTACAAATGTTTACCTTTTAAATGACAATCTCGACTTCCTACGCCTCTGGGCGTGCAGGTATTGTGATCGCGAAACATTTCGAAAATCAGGTATCATGTTTTTTGGATGTTGTATGACATGTACGTCGTTCATGAAAAACCAGACCCTACTGAGCGAGGGCCGCGGCAAATGCTTGTTCCGGAAGTTGTTGTATCCAGTATACAACTTCTTCCCGTCCAAGTGATTGTCCACGCGTTAAGGAATACCTCAGTACCGATTGCCGGTTGGCGGTACAAGTCCGCCAACGGGCCACTTTAGGTCTATTTAACATCACTAACACGTAAAAAGAAGGTGGTAGACAAGGACCAGTCGACCGAGGCAGTACCACCCGCCAGCTTTTCCCAGGGTGTCCGCATGTTTCCACACCTAAGCTATGCAGTCGGTTATCTACCAAAACAAAGAAATTAATGATGATGGATCCCTCGAGCACTAAAAACTCTGGACGTAAACTCACTCCACTCTCGGAATGTCCGGGTGGAGGGTGGGCTCGAGGGAACAACATCGAAGATGAAATTTGTTTTTCGAACATCTGCGGGATCAACAGCAACATTGATGCTGTTCATCACTACCTGCAATCCAATCGTCCCGCCGTGCTTTTCTTGGCGGAGACAAAAATCTTAGAGACTGCACCGATTAACCATCTCAACTTCCCAAACTACGAGGTGCACTCCAATCTGAGAAAGAACGGGGGAGTTGTGGCTTTTGTCCGCAGCAGCCTTTCGTGCTCCAGGGATCTTTCTTTGGAATCAGACCGGAAGGACATTCTGTGGCTTCGCCTCAACTCCAAAACATCACCCAAATTTATTTGCTGCCTTTATCGCTCTCCCTCGAATCATAACTGGGATGACCTACTCGAATACCTCGCCCTTCAGATCGACTTCCTGAACATCAATCACCCCGCTTCAGAGGTAGTTCTTCTCGGTGATTTCAATGCCCATAATGAGCTTTGGTTGGGCTCAAATAAGACCGATGCAGCAGGTCGTGCAGTCGAAGCGTTCGCTCTTACTCAAGGGCTGACCCAGCTGGTGACGAGCCCTACTTTTTTCCCCCGCGTCTCGTCACACGCCAGTAGCCTGCTGGATCTCTTTCTGACCACGCATCCTGCCCCTTACAGCACTGCTGTCCTGTCCCCCCTGGGTAACTCAGATTACGGTGTTGTGGAGGTTAGGTTTCGGTCAGAAGCCGCTGTGGCAGCAGAAACTCGCACAGGCCGCAAAACTTGGCATTACGGACATGCCGACTGGGAGGGGCTTAGAGACTTCTTCTCTAGCTTTCCCTGGGAGAGATGTCTGTTTCACTGACGCGGATGCGTCGACTATCTGTTCTTCAATAACCGAAATTATCCACGTCGGAATGGAGGAATACATCCCTCACACAGTGCAAGTTCCTAAACCAGGGTCCAACGGCTGGTTCAACAAATCGTGTGACACTGCTCGCCAGCAGAAGATCAAGGCCCACAGAACCTACTTACAAAACCCCACTGTAGAGAACAGACAAGCCGACGTCGAGTCCAGAAACAAATATAACGAAGCGGTTCGCAATGCCAAAAACCAGCATGATATAAAAGTTAGGCACAGGGTAATGTCGCAGCGCAATGGCAGTCGGTCTTTCTGGACGCTGGCCAAGCAGATTGAAAAGAACTTTTCACACAGTAGCCTTCCACCACTTACGTGTCAGGATGGAACTATTGTATTCGACTCAAAGGCCCAGGCGGAAGTGCTAGCCAAGATCTTTGCTGCCAACTCCACCATGGACATCCCCACCAACGCCCAAGTGCCGTCAATTCAAAGGGTTCCCCACACTATGCGGGAGGTAACATTCAGGCATAAGACCGTAAGACGAGAGCTCTTGTCGCTCGACATCAACAAAGCTTCTGGTCCGGACTTGATTCCTGCCTTCCTGAAGAGATGTGCAGCGGAGCTTGCTCCAGTTCTTTCGCGTCTCTTCCAGATATCTTATGAATCCGGTACCTTCCCAAAAAACTGTAAATTTGCTCATATACAGCCCATCCCAAAAAAAGGATCTAAAACCGATCCTTACAACTACAGGCCTATAGCTCTGCTTTCTGTTATAAGTAAAGTGATGGAGAGATGCATAAATTGCGAGCTTCTGGACTACCTCGAACGTCACAGCTTGATTAGCGACAGGCAGTACGGTTTCCGGCACCAACGATCCACAGGGGACCTCCTAGCTTACGTCACGCAACTGTGGAGTAAACTCATCCAGGCTCATGTCGTTGCTCTTGACATCACGAAAGCGTTCGACCAGCTGTGGCACGCTGCCCTCTTAAGCAAACTTCCATCCTACGGCCTCCCAGAAAAGCTTTGCAGATGGGTGGCTGACTTTATCTCTGGCCGCAAGATATCCGTCGTAATTGACGGATTCTCCTCTTCATCCCACAACGTCAACGCGGGTGTTCCCCAGGGATCGGTCTTGGCTCCAACACTGTTTCTCTTACATATCAACGTCCTCCTTTCCTGCACTATCAACCCAATCCACAGCTTCGCTGATGACAGCACTCTACATGCAGGAATTCAGAGTGACAAGCCGATCTCTGCCGCTGAGCTGGAAAAAAGAAGACTAGCGACGACTTCTTCTCTGACAAGAGACCTGGAGGCTATCACTGCTTGGGGACGCAACAATCTTGTACAGTTCAATGCTTCCAAAACACAGTACTGTACTTTGCCGAACAAAAAGCGTCCTAGCGCTCATACAGTTTCGATGGACGATCGAGTTCTACCAAAGAGCCATTCATTTCGGCTGGTCGGAGTCCAGATCACCGAGGACCTGATCTGGCACGAACACATCTCTTCAATAGCTGCAGCTGCTGGGAAAAAGCTAGGCTATTTGTTTAGGGCTAAGAAGTACTTTTCTCCGCATGACCTTCTCACTCTATACAAGGCCCAGATAAGGCCTAGCCTCGAGTATGGCTCGCACATTTGGGGTGCTGCCGCCCCGACTACATTGTCCATGCTCGATGCTGTCCAGAGGAGGGCGGTCCGACTCTCGGGACTCTTTCGCACCGGCGGGCCGTCGGCGATCTAGCTCTTTTCTGTCGCTACACCAACTGGCTTTGCTCCTCAGAGCTCTCTTCTATGATGTCGCCGCGCGATGTGCCTGCCAGACAGACCCGCCTGACTTCGGCGTCCCATCCCAACCGTGTCAAACTTCGTACATCCAGAACTGGCCGATACGACCGCTCCTTTGTCCCAAGGGTGTCTAGATTGTGGAACAATCTACGGGAGGAAGCTTTTCCCAGTTCTACTAACCTTAGGCAGTTCAAAAATCGTATTAACAAAATTTCTTTGGGATCATCATAGCAGCCGCGGTGTTCCGGCATTTAGGCTTCTGCCTGCGCGGCTGTTTCGATATAAAAAAAAAACATGTCACTCATTTCCTCATAACTGGTGAAGAACTGCTTTAATAATTACGAACACTATCTCTTTCTTATAAATAATATCTGATGCATTTCCAGTTGGGGTATGGTTCAATGCCGGTAATTCCCGATATACTTAATACTTCCTTATAAAATAACGTAGTCGAAACCTGGAGCAAACAAATTTGGCGTCTAGAATACATTTACAACGTTTTTCAGGTCATCTTCCACCAAGTGTGAGTAACATTCACATTCCACCAAACCAAGATAGCGTTTCTTTTGTGATGGGTAATCATCAGAAAGTTGGCGACGGTTCGCAGCATCTGCAAGGAGAAACGTCAAGTTCCAATGCGGGTGGACAGTACGTAGGGACCAGTTTGAAAGAGAGCCCCTATGACAGCAACCCATTTAAGCCATATTTTAGCAGCGGTGGACATCAAAATGGACAGTACATGCCTCAAAAAACCAAGTTAACGTTTGCCCCAACTGCTGTGGAAAATGATTTTAACCATCAGCATCAGCATGGTTTTAGTGCTATCACAATTCAGCCTTTGAGAAACTCTGAGGCATCGCTAGCTATTGGAGTTCCGATAAATAGTATGAAGCAGAAACCAGGTACATCACAAAATTCTTCTACAAAAAAAATTCGTTTGGATAGACGGACTAATTATCATTATGTGAAAAAATACAGTGATTCGCTTAAGCATTTAGAATGACTTGTGGCGAGTGGCGCAACCAAAAAAGAGTTTTGATGGAAGCTGAGATCTTACAATAGGTATCATGCCGTCATGAAAGGTTCAATTTGACTGATTTCTTCCACAAAACGGCGACTAGTGCGCGAAAGCTTGCTTCAAAAATTCATGAATCAATCGATGTCACGAGTCTGATTTATTAGTCCAGGAAGTATCTTCATTTTTCAGTTTCTTGAGTCCTTTTGAAAGAGAAAGGTCAATGCGATAATATTTTTTGAAACATGAGCGATTTAATATTTGAAAATATGCAAAATCTTAGGCTCCGAAAAATGGTACGAGCAAAGAAGAATCTTAATGCTGACAAAGTTGCCAAACATCCTTCAAACATCCAATAATAAAATGCATTAGTATTTTAGGGTATATTGTTATTGTAAATCTTTGATTTTTACTCCTTACGCCACTGGCGAGGAAATTTAGTTGTTGCGAAAAGTTTCGTAAAATGAGATGTTACGACATTTGGATGTTACCTGACATGTCCATAACGAAAAACCATTGTCACTCATTTCGATTGGTATATTTGTTAGTCGTGCTGTCTGTCTGTCCGCTAATGCACTATAACGTGGCAAGTACCCTTCGGATTTTCATAACATTTTCACACAAGGTAAACACTATGTCAAGGACGGAAAAGATTTTCAGTTTTTGAAAGTCGGTTCAATGGCGGCGGGGCTATGGTCATAAGCACAAAAACATAAATAAGAATAACTCAAACTTCATTTTTTGGCGATACAGAAACTCTAGATAGTTTTCAGAAAAATTTGTGTAGGGGTAAAATGGTGGGAATTGGGGGTTCTAAAAGGGTAGAGGAGAGTATATCTCAATCTGTTAATATATTTATACGCTTCAACACCGGTAATTCTAAGCTCCAATATAAATAATAATAAAATTTCACACATCATAGGTTTCCCCGTACATTTGGCCTTAAAACTTGAATGATAGAAATACGCCTTCTATACGCAACTCTGCGAAGCAGAACCTTGTTAGTGCCCCTGCCCTTGTGCAAAATCTGCCTGACAGGGATAGCATCTAAGCCCCTGCCGTACTTCTCCAACCACGTTCAACCTGTTTTCCATGCTTATTCACTTGTGCTATCTGACCAATTTCGATTGTAGGCCAAATATATGATGAGAAGCTGGATTTACTACCACCGTCAAAACCTGGAGCAGGTGCAGTCATAGGTTCATCGACACAAACTCCACCTAACGCAAATACAAATAGAGTTATATTTCCAGGACAAGATACTATGAGTACCGATCTAGTACCACCACCGCTGACTGGGTATTATGGCCAAAAGGATGTGAAAGGTTCGTTTCTACATATGTATTTGTAGGTGGTACAGCATGGCCAACTAAGAGTGCGAAGTACTGTATCTGGAAACCTGTCCATCATAGAGGCTATCGGCAATAACAGTTATTACTAGAACGACTAAGATAAAAAACCTGTAAAATATTTTCAAGTTTCTGAAATGGCCACTAGGGGCGTAACTGCAATCTTGAATCTAAAAAAGTGATGTTTCTGTGAATTCCGATTTATTAACCTAACCAAAAACACCTGGTCTAACAATTCAAGGATAATATGAATCTTTTTCGTTTGACAATTTTTGCTGTATCTCTAAAAATAAAGTGATGGGGGTATTCAAAGGTTTCCGTAAAAAACACCATGTTTCTTCGGATCGACTGAGCAGACATTACCAAACATGGACTAGTTGGAAAGAGCTATTCTTGGGCTGCAAATATTATGTTATTTGAAGTTTTGTTAGTTGCACATGTGACCGCTTTTCGACATTCCGACAGAAATTGCTAATTTTCTCAAAAAAACTAAATGCATTGGTATGATTTTTTGTTTATGAAAAAGCAGCTAAAAAATGTCTAAAAAGAGCCGATTTAAAAATGAAAGGCTTTTAATGCCCCCTGAATGCTCGAAATGCTGACCGTCACGTTCTATGCATTCCTGAAGCCTCTTATGAGTAGACAAAACTGCAGCTTCAATTTCGGCTCTCGGTATGTTACGTATTACAATACGAATCCTGACTTGCATATCTTTTCTGGTTGAGTCTGAAACACGGTGTCCTCTAACCGTCCCCATAAATAAAAATCTAGATAAGTTAAGTCTTTTGATCGCGAAGGCCAACGAAACAGACTTCCTCTTCCAATCCATCCCTGTTGAAATACTGCATTAATATGCTCTGGCACAATAATAGCAGAATGTGCTGGGCAACCATCCAACTGCAAAAACAAGTTTTGCAGTGTTTCCAGTGGCACATCTTCCAACAACAATGATTGTCCAAAAAGTCAAGAAAGACATTGCCATTAGGGATTGCTCGGAAAAATATGGCCCAATAATTCTGCCTCCCAGTATGCGATTTAAACTCCACTCCGTCACTATTAAAGGTAGCTTCATCGGTCCAAAGAATTTGAAATAAAAATTCTATATTTTCGCGTATCATGCCTAACATCCAATAGCAATAATCCAACCTCCGATCAAAGTCTTTATTTTTCAAGGCCTGATGCGAAACGACATGATATGGGTGCATTCAAAAAGTAATTAAAAAAATTTAAATTCAAATAAATCCTTATTATTTTTTCGCGATATGCCCAACACAAGGGATAATACCCTAATACGATGATTTTCTCCAATATATCCCAGCATCAGCTTAATATTTTCTTGTCTTCTTCCGAATCTTTGCCGTTGAAACGTTGAAAGCTTGCCACTAATCAGGGAAAAACTCTCACATCGCAAAGATGCCGATTTGGATATAAAGTCGCGTAAACTCTTTTGCTACTGCGGCTATCTGAAGACATTCATAATAAACTGCAAGCATATCAACAGCTTCATCGTTTGTAGAGCGCATTTGGTAAGCTAAAACTTGCTCAAAGTAACGCGAAACTATTGTCAACTATTGACAATTTGAGAATTATTAATGATTTGATTAGGTATCTGTTTTGTTGTATTCCATGGCCTGCTCCTATTAATTGTCTTTTTCGTATATACCAATGGTGAATAACATTTAAACAAAAATTTGCCTTTTGTTTTTTTTATTTATTTACCTTTCAGCGATATTTAGTAATATGTTCGAAAATGGTGATTTTATTTTGATGAATAAGAAAAAAGTCGAAGAAGATTAGTTTCAAAAAACATAAATTTAAGAGATTTCCGTATAAAATCTTCTTCGGCCTAAATTCAAGGTTAGGAACCAGATATCGAGATGCGGTTTTCGCGAGTTTATTTAGACACTATTTTGCTATTTTTCAGTGGAAAAAAATATACGAATGAATTGGTTTTTTTTTGAGAGAATTAATCATTTCTATCGGAATGTCGAAAAAAGCACTCTAGCGCCCAAATGTTGAACTAACAAAACTTCAAATTCTATAACGTTTGTAGGCCAATAATAGCTCTTTTGAACTAGCCTAAGTTTGTTAAAATTGGATTAGCCGTTTCGAAGATTCGGGGTGTTTCTTACGGAAAACCACTTTATTTTTAGAGATGCAGCAAAAACTGTCAAGCAAAAAGCTTCATATTATCCTCAACTTCAAAGATCAAGTATTTTTTTGTTATGTTGAAATAGCGGAATTCACAGAAACATAAATTTTTTAGATTCAAGATTGCAGTTTTGCCCCCTAGCGGCCATTTCAGAAACAAAAAATATTTTCCGGGTTTTTCTCTTGGTTTTAGTAAGAACTTTTTTTGCCGCAAGCCTCTATGGATAGGTTTCCAGATACAGTACTACGCAGCCTTGGTTGGCCACCCTGTACATATAATTCCTGTTCATGCCCCTTTAACAGACTTTTTGCAAATATTCAGGCATATCCTTGATAAATACATGATTAACAGAGGTTCATAAATTAATTCCCAAAATAATATATAATTTGCGTTGCTTCCAGTTGAAAATAGTACACCACTCAATCAGAGCCTATACAATAAGACAGAGACCGACAGCTATTCGAAAGTACCAAATGAAAGTTCAAGCAGTATGAGTCAGTATGGAGAACCGAATGGTCCAAAACCTGTTGAAAAGACACCAAATACTGACCAACACAGCAGTTTGAATGGCTTGAATAGCTATCTCACACCATCAAGTGCATCGGAAGTACCTTTAGGTTCAAATACTTTTAAAAACACGCAGACTGGCGGATTTGACAGTTACCAGAAGCCGCCCAGCATTAATTCTGAAGGAATGGGGCCACTTGAAGCACTGAGACCTCCTCCGGGAAGTCTTCCGCCATCTCCATATGGGAGTACTAGGCCCCATTCTCCTGGCCTTGGAGCATACCACACCAACCGGGTTGGCCCAGTGGACCAAAAACTGCATACCCTTGACAACAGAGAGGTAAGTAAGTGCACATGGTCGCATTGTCTCAAATTGTTGAGCTCCATTCTCTTATTTTTACGTCCAGCATTGGATGTCTTTCTTGTAGCGCCCGTATTTCAAATCGCCTTATACATCTTCAGGTCCTCAAGTTAAATAGCAGGCCCATGTACCATCAGCTTGCAAACGATCTGATGAGCAGTCCAGCAGATGGAGAAGACATTCTTCGTCCACCACCACGACCCGATTTGAGGCCAGTTGGTAGGCCACCCTACGACCCAAGACCAGGTCATTTCCATACTGGAAAAATCGAATATAACAGACCACCTAGACCACAACTGGATATGAGCTATAAGAGAATAGACAATTTGCCGAATATTTTGCCACAGTTTAGACCGAACGCACTTGGAGGTAAACCCGCGAATAACCTTGGACCAAATCTCCCATTAGGTCATGGAAAATATCCCATCAGTAATCCAAACTCAAGGATTGGAGTCTCAGGGGTAAGTGTCTTGAATTAATATCCCGTAGAGTATCTTTACAGGATTTTAAAGTATTCCAGTTTTTGATTTTACATGCCGCAAGTTAGAGTCTAGCAGTAGTTCAAATATCTCGACAATCTGGCCAACTAAGGGAATGTTATGATATCCATTAAATGTACTTATGCTGTTCCCGATATTTCCATCTTCTACTGCCGCTTGCAGACTTACCCAGCCCTGGATAGACCATCCGGACCAGGTTTGCTCTACTATGAGAAGAAACCATTTATAAGACAGCCACTCTTGGAGAGACCTGCTAGCAATAGACCTATAGGCTTCTATGAAAAGATGCATCCTCATCCGGGACACAGAAATCAGGTAATAAACACGTAATCCAGAAGAGACCAAAGCTAGATGTAGTACGATCTTTGATACCTTTGAGTGGTTAGTAACCCCACGTTATCGGAGCTGGTCGCTACATATCATACTACTTCCACTGCATTATGTGAGGAGGCAACTTTCATTAATAATATTTTTGGTAGTTTTTTCAGGGTAAGGGTTCGTATCCTATAAGAAAAAATATTGTCTATACAAGCAACATAAATAACAACAAAGATAACGCACATCAGCCTGATGCAGAGGAAAGAATCTTAAATAAAAATGTAGATGACAAAAGTATAGGTGTAACCATAGAGCCTCAGATTGGAATCGCTCCTACACCTCCACAGGTAGGGAATTTTTTTCAAACTATGCTTACCTGGAAGAGCTTTTTGAGATCACTCACCATTGGAGTTAGTTTATTTTACGTATTTAAAATTAAATTTAAAATTATATGGCAGCTTTCCTAGCTTTCGAATTATGCACGGGTCTGAATGATGTTTTTATTGCAGCCTAAGATTGTGGGGAGCAGGCATTCCGACGATGAAACAGAAATAGAAACACTGCAGATGATTCAGGCAAAGAAGTCGGAGAAGACTAAGCACAATCAAGATAACAACACAGAAGACAATAAAAAGAATGACAAGCAACTTGTGAAAATAGACAGCGATGGACAGGTTGTTACCATTTCTGCAAAAGAAGTGGACGAAAATAGCAATTTAAACGACTACAACAATGAGGAAGATAAACAAAAGGATAAGACGATCTATAAAGTATACCCTATCAACTCAGGACCTGTTATGATGGATGGTTTAGGTATCCACAACAAGCAAACACCAGTTGTTGTTGGATCTCTCTCTGAAATACCTCTACCACCTTCAAAAATATCTGCCGACCAAGACAGTTTGGGGGGAAATCCCAGTTTATTATTCGATATCAAGAACAGGTACGTGCATAGGAGAAAATAAACGAAATGACATAGCAAATGCAACACCGACTACGAATTTTTAGCATACTTTTATAAAATTTAGGTATACTGATAAATAGAAAGTGATTAAAATGCTAACTGGAAATTTCGCAAAATACCTACGATATCCCACCTTAATGTTTAATAATGTGTTGAAGCTCATCTGTTCGCTACTTGGATTAGGTGATTGATGTCTGCTTGATGCATTGTATCCCAGGCCATCTGAATTTGAATTCATAGATCCTCCAACGTTTGTTATATGTTGTTATATACTTGTTCGACGGGGGAAAGGTCGAGGCGATCGAGGAGGCTACTGAAGCAGATTTACACCGAACGCTTGTAAAAAGTCTAAACAACACGTGCGACATAAGGTCGTGCATTGACCTGCTGAAACAGTGGATATTACAATGTTTCCAAAAAGGGGAGCAGATGTGGTTGTAAGACCTTATTTGGCGATAAACTGTCCTCACTGTTATTGCCTTTTCGATAGCATCAAATCACTGGTTCGCAACTGCCCTGGTTGTGGAAAATGTCTGTCTTTGACGTCCAGTACCTTTAACTCGTCGATTTCGGCCTTCTATTGATCACGCTTGACAACGTCTCATTACAGCAGCTTCGTTTCGATTCAGCCGATTAGCGATGTCTCTAAAAGAAAATCCGGCTTCATGTAACCCATTTATCCAACCCTTCTCAAAATAGTTGAGTGAAATTAGCGCGTCTGCGAACTGTAGGCATGATAATGCAATGAAACAATAATGAAAAAAATGTAAACAACACAGAAAAATCGCTGAATATTAAGTAAACATGTTCATACACATATTGTCCGGCAAGGGTATTACGTATCTTGAAAAGTGACGTTATATCGATTTTTTTTGGCATTGTACTGTTTTTTTTGACATTATGTAAGTCTTTTTACAAGATGTTAACTAGTTGTACGTGTTGTATAAACGTCACCAGGCTTCCAGTTATCAATGTTTGGCTCTGACGTAATGTAAAGTTTGCTTCAGAGATGGCATTACTGGAGGTCTAAGCTGTAAGTTGTATGTGTTGATGATAATTCCATTGGATTCTTGCCTCAAATACACTTAATTGAGATTCAAAGCTAGAAATTAGTTGCACATCCAGTTTTTCTTATCTATTCTGGAAATTAAATAGGCAAATTTGCTGAATTTCAAAAATGAGAGAGATAAGAAATAATTATATTCACGGTATACTGTCGAATTACTAGCCATATATAGTACATGCTAACAGTAATTATTATACACAACGTGGGCGCGGTGATGATTTCCCGTAATTCTCCTCAAAATTTTTCGTAATTTATAACTTTGAACATAACCTGTCTTCAGAAAGGACAATATATAAATAACCCGTCGGGCACAGCTAATAGATATACTTCATTGGCAGCATATATACAGTAATGGTTTTCTCTCCCAGCAGATATCACCGATTGTATAACATGCAGAGTAATACACATAATCATCCAGATACGATCTTGCTATTCCACCAACTTTCTTCTCAGATATAAAAACTACAGGCACAGACCACTCGGATTCACAAAACGTATGCTACCCTCAATGCGTGTAGTTTAGTTGAGTGATTCCTCCATAGATGGAAGTTTAAAACGATCCTAGTGAGCAAACGAGGAATGACTGTTTGCGCCCTAAAAATTACCTAGTCGGCAAGATGACTTCTTATAGGTTTTTTTTGACGTTTTATAGGTTTTTTAACATAATACCCGTGCGGATCCTGATATATCAAAAAAGCCTCTGCAAAGAAAGTGCTGTTCGGAATGCCTTCAACATCAGCGTATATACAAAATTCACTAAATAATTCTGGGTGTTGCATTTTATGTCACCTAGTATACCATAATAATAATTGAATAACAAAGAGTTTTTCAATAAAGAGTGTTGCTTTGTAAATTCAGTATACTTTGTTGCAGGAATGACGATCCAATTTTACAACCACAGATGAAACCAGCTAGTTATGGAGTTAAAAACGATTTTCCCTACAGGTTAGAAAGGCCTGATATGTCGTTGAGTCAGCACGACAGTATTTCTGTGCCGAATCAGTCCAACAATGACTTAGAGGAAGGATACACGGGAAACGGAGGTAGGATATAGTTCTTGTGTCCTAAATATAAAGCTTCTGCGTATTTTGCTGAAGTATATAGCAATTACAGTAAGCGAAACTAAACTGTCTTGGACGATATTAATGAGAATAATCTTTCCCGCAAAAATAGTATGGTTCTGGAAAAAATCATGCATGCATTCACAGTATAATGTGGGGCACAAGCCAGAGCTGTGGCGGCCGCTGTGGCGATAGCGATCGCAGTGGCAGTCACCAGGCGGACTACATGTACACAAACCAATGCGATCTTTCAGCGACAAATTTAGTATCTCTAAGTATTCAGAATTAAAGTGTGCAATGAGTGTACATTATATAGAAGTAAAAGCTTTGCTTTTGGCTTTGTTACTGTATGAAGATGAGGAAAGGCAAAGGTAAGTATGTAAACAAATTACTTTTTGTTTAGGAAAAAGCAAAGGATTTGGGTTCATGATATCAATTGTGATCGGGAAAGCAAATGAGTATTTCATACAATATTTCATAAGCTAATGGAGGATAGAGAGAGATTTTTTGTCTATTTTAGAATGACTGTGGACTGTTTTGATGATATTTTGAATTTGTTAAAGCCAGAAGAACATGAACAGCAGCCCGACCTCAAAGCCTTTGAAAATTTTGCAAACGGTGCCCGAAGATCAACAAACGTGAAAATTTTTTTTCATATTTTAATAATTAGACAAGTGTTAAATGATATTTTTTCTCTAAATAAAATATATATAAGTAAACACTGTAGCTACTTACCCGTCGTTTCACCTATAGATAAAGCAATTTCGTCACATATTTTGTCTTTTTTTAATACTCCTGTCTCTGTGAGACAAGCGATACAAGATGGAATGTTCCCGCACATTTTCAATAACTTTTTCGGTATCACACATGTTTGCTACTACTCCGTAGAAAAAATATCGCGCTAACTCTGCGGGCAAATGATGCATGCAGCGTTCTACCGCAGGCCGCAAGTTGGCCGCGGTAGAACGCGGTAAAGATAGCAGGTGTGCGCACTTCGGTTTAGTCACATCCGCCTTATTTGCTCGCCACCGCGATTGCTATCGCCACCGCGGCCGTCACCGCTCTGGTTTGCGCCCCACATTAATTTGAAAGGACGCGTCTATAGATAATATCGTTTGTAAAGTTATTATTATGTGAAAAAAAAACTGCGTTAGTGTGAGTCAAACCTACAACTGAGGTAGCCATATCAGAGTGTAATGGTGTATGAAATTTTGCAACAATATTTTGAGGCACTAACGATGGAATATTGGATAAAATCAGTAAAAAGGAGGACATAGGCAATGAAAAATACGTATTAATAGCTAACCTTGCGTGGGGCCAGCGCCACCTTGTTTGTCCGTTGATTATAATACCAATGACATTCCTTTGGAGATATCGATTCACTGTACTGCTGGTGTACAGGATAAACCTTGATAAAGCCATTTATAATTTAAAACGTATACATTCTACTATCCGCCAACAGAGGGTTGTAGCTCACGGTTCACGGATGCTTTGTAAAAATCGATATAGGCTACCAGGGTTGCTGCACAAAATCTCTTGGACATATCCTTTCGTACCGGGGTTTGCTAAATAAATTGTCAAATTTCCACGGGCGCCCGCAGGAGTTTCTCTCGGGGGGGATTACTGGGAAGAGACAACTTTCTGTGAAAGTGTACATGCTAAAAAAAACGACAGAATTGTACACAACTTCTTGCAAAATATTCAAATTTTAAGGTCCAACGATACTCATGCCCCTCCTCAGCTCCCCCTGCATGCGCCCATGCAAATTGCTATATGCACAGTGTCATATGTATAGAAGCTGCATGTACAAAAACGGGTGCAGTTTGTTGGTTCCTAGACAGCTTATGCTTAAGAATAATGGTGTAGAACAATTTTTAGAAATTCAGTATAGTGTTTGCAATTTATATATAGAAAACGGCCATTCTCTTTATTTAGCTTCAAACGTTTTCCATAAAGCGTACCATTTTTGAGAAAAATGGGAGGAAATATATTCGGACCCCCGAAAGTATATGAGAATCGGAACCTTCCTTTCAATCCCGTCAGAAAGTATAGTATGTACTTTTCCACCACCTTACCTTTCAAACTATACTGTACCTGCAATTTTACCATCTCTATCATTCCTATCAGTTTTAATCATGTCATCATTTTCAGGTTATACCATACTGCCTTCAAATCAAATATCAGCAACACTCAAAACTTACACTGAGAGACCAATTGCAATAGCATACACTCCTACAGAATCCCCCGGTTCCCACCAGCAGGGTGTGCAACACTTTGTCAATGAGTATATGCCAGTCGACCACCATGATAAATCTCCACAAAATGAAAAGGAGAAAAACGAGTTCACTGTGACAGCTGTCATTCATACTCATCCACAATACAATCAAGGTAGGACAATTACGTACCCTTTTGAGGAGCCTGTTGATGAAGTATCTTTCTACAAAACTGACGAATCAGTCACGGATGGTTAAGGAAGACTGAAAGCTTTCTTGCGCTAGATAGTCAAAATATCAAAAAGTGTGGGAAAAACATATTATAGTACACCTACTCAGACTGGTTGTTTAGTTTTGACAATGTACAGTGTTTATATGAATTATTATATGATATAAGACAAGCAGTCGGAAAAGGCAAGGTTTCTAAGAAATGGAAGAAAAATCTAGTCTCAGAGGGATTTGAACTTATAGCTCCAGTCATCTGCATTAGCGAATATGCATCAAGTTACTCTCTACAGGGTGTTTCAGAAAGATGTGCCAATATTTCTAGGGCAGAAAGTACATCTGAAAATTACTGAAAAGTTCCTATAAATATGGGCCTAAAGATGCTCTCCTACCGAGGTGCAGGGTAATGAAGTTTCATTTACAAAGTGTCCCGGCCCATATTGAACCAGGGACGTAGAAACTAGGGTACTTTGAGCCTAATAGGAAATATTTTCTACGCCACTGGCCTTTTCAGGAAAAAGAAGTGCATTTCATAAAATCCAATTTTCCATAAATTTTGCAATTTTTGTCAGGTCACTAGTTTTAGGTTTGAATATTTGAGGTAAAATACTAAGTTATTTGTATGAAAAGGTTTGGCCGCCCTGTTCTGAAAACACCGCGATGCTTGATATTGAAAACACTTTTCTTTAATGTCCCCCCCCCCTTTGATTCTTTCAACGGATCAATTCAAAAAATTAAAACTTGAGGTAATAAAATTGATGCGTGGTGACCATAGTCTAGAGTAAATCTGACAGATGAAAATGTCAAGATAGCCGCTGGGCGCCATCTTGAAAAAAAAAATGATATGAAAGCAGGGGTCTTGTGGCACATCATTTTGAAGCTCCTAACGAATACTTTATAAGCCTAGAATATAAAGTTAATACCTTTACCTACTACAAAGCTGTGGTACATTTTATAATTACTTGAACACAAACCCACTAATTCACTGCCACATCCACAGCAACAGCGATAAAAAACTTGTTTTGCTATTTTTTGTTGACAGTGACAAGAATATCAGTACGAAAACAAACATCATTGTACAGTTAAAATATTCTCATTTAGTTTTCGATTTTAATGCTAGATACTCTCAGGACTATTGTTACAATGGTCAATTCTCGTCCATTTGAAGAAAAAATAGAAGCGATTTTTATTTATGGTGCGACGCGTAAGTTTCTCGAGACCGAAAGGATTTTTAATGATCGTTTCCCGAATCGTCCTATATGTAGAAAATATTTAAGGGAACTCGTATCTAAATTTACAGCTACTGGTAGTATAAACAGCAAAACGCCCCAGGTCATCCGACCATCCCTGAAGAAAAGCAAGTTCAAATAATTGGTTAAATCATAGTAAATCCCCAACAGTCTACGTCCTCCATCGCGAATGAATGTGTCGTTTTACTGTATGGAGACTTTCGAAAAAGAATACGTATCACCCATACAAAATTCAAACGGTACATCAGCTAAGTGACGATGACCCTGATCGAAGAACAGGTCTCTGCGAGACTATGACGGAAACCATTGCACGGCATCCTACCTATATCTAAAATATTTGTTTTAGTGATAAATGTACATTTTTTCTCAACGGTAATGTGCATAGACAAAATTGTCGTTTTTGGAGTTACACCAATCCTCACGTCTTCCGGATAACGCATACTCAATATCCACAAAAACTTAAAGTTTGGGCTGGGATATTGGGAAATCATGTTGTGGGGCTTCTATTCATCGAACCGGAGAACTGTATTTGGATGCTGGTAAATACTATTATATATATATATATATATATATATATATATATATATATATAATACCGAAATCGTCGAAGCGAATCCTAATGAATTCGATACTGATATTGTATTCCAGCAAGATGGTGCTCCACCACACTACTACAGACAAGTTTAGACTTTTTTATGGGGATATTTGAAGCAAAAGGTGTACGAAACTGAACCTGCTCAGTATTGGATATACGGCTGAGAATGACAAATATTTGTAGAAATATCGATGTTACCATGCTTAAAAATGTTCGACGCCAAATTACGGACCGGCTGTTATTATGTCAAGAAATTCAAGGCAGCCATTTCCAGCATCTTCTAAACTGAACTCAACATATTTATTCGAATTATCAAGTTAAATGTCAATGTATTCAGGGAGTCATTAAATATACCACCATTTTGTAGTAGGTAAAGGTATTGGCTTTATATTCTAGGGTTATAAAGTACTCGTCAGGAGCTTCAAAATGGTGTGCCACGAGACCCCCGTTTTCATATAATTTATTTTGCCAAGATGGCGCTCATAGGGTATCTTGACATTTTCGTCTGTCAATTTTACTCTTAGATATGGTATCCACGCATCAATTTCATTACCTCAAGCTTTGATTTTTTAAATTGATCCATTCAAAAAATCAAAGGGGAGGGGAACATTAAAGAAAAGCACTGTATGGAATATGAAGAAAGCCATAACAACACATTACAACACTAATTGAATAATATGTTTGTCAATCAGTAGCGTAGATGCTTACCATTCATTAAAGCTCGTTTATGCACGCTACTGGTTTGCATGGTATACTTCTTCTGGTATTACCTATGTTAGATTCTTCTGTTTGTATAAAATCACAAATAGTAATTGTGGGATCAATCAATTCAGGTAAAATTATCTCTCTTTACTTCTGAAATTATCGGCCTTAGTTTTTCTCAACGTTCTTTAGCATTTCGGATTGAGTGAGCTCAACAAAGAAGATATCCCAAATCGTTAGCAACCGGGTACTCGTATACAGAAGGCTTTCAACACGGTTCGTACTATGCCAGGTATTTTCCAAAGAGTCAGAGCGTCTTTGCGGCGTAGAATATGGGCTTGTGTTGAATCCTAAGGTGGTCACTTTCAACACCTCCTTTATGTTGAATATTTATAGCATTTATTCAGCCTTATTTTTTGTTCCCAATGTTATGTCCTCATGAATTTAGAAATATCCAAGTAGGTTGTATCAATTTAATATATACTGTTGGCATGTTTAATTCTCAAAAATTAATATGCTGGCAAAACCAGTGGCGTGAAAGCCTTAATGAAAACACATACAGATTGAGGGTAAGACACCGATATTATTCAATTAATGTTGTAACGAGGTGCCATAACGTTCTTCACATGCTATATAGTGTTTCCAATATCAAGCTTGACAGTGTTTTCAGAATAGGGGAGGCCAAGCCTTTTCATAAGGATATTTTAGCATTTTACCTAAAATATTCAAACCTAAATATCTCCATAACTGACAATAATTCCTTCAGAGACAAAATGCATGGCAAATTGAATGGTATTTTATAAAATGTACTTCTTTTGTCAGAAAAGGCCAGTGACGTAGAAAGTATTTCCTATTATGGGTCCAGATATCCAGTTTCTACGTCTCTGATTTAGTTTGGGCCAGGAAACTGTGTTATTATGTGTTCACTGAACGACTTAAATCTCATTTACCCGGTCCGTAGATATGTTTTTCAATTTTGAAAATGAAAGTTCATCACGCCGTGGCTCGGTAGGGGAGTATCTTTGGACTCATATTTAAAGGAACTTTTTTATTCTTCCCTAAAAATATTGGCACGTCTTTCTGTAACACCCTGTATAAATGAATACTCGCAGCAGGATTCATTGCATGTCAACTCATATTTTGCACGGTTTTAGGAGTTAAACCAGGTCAGCAGTATCCGTACATCAACCATAGACCTCCAACCCATGGTCAAGTAGCCGACATGATCAACCATCGAATTGATTCGGACGTAGATCCAGATATACCAAAACTAGGCTTCGAAGCGCCATTCGTAGCGAGTAGCAACATAGAAAACACTCATAATAACGGATGGACTGTTATCAGTAAGGAACCTCAGAAGAATACGACGAATGGAGAGAGCAAAGATTCCTCCTCAGTGACAACAATGTCTTACGCCTCCAGCAGCGAGTTTGACATAGAAAATTTCAAACCACAGCTGGAAGGTGGCTTCAAACCAATATACAGCCTGACGAAAGAAGATGGGGAAAGTAGAGAAAGCATAAATGAAAGAAGCGAATGAAAGGGATGCGGTTGACGTATATTTGTCTTTCCGTAATAGGACATGTATAAAAATCTCTCAAATATTTAGGCATTTGCAGTTTGCGCAGGTGTGGAGAAAGGAATGCATTTTGTCGACGGATTAAATGATCGGCGAGTAAAGAATTCAAGCTCAGTGCATTTTTCGGACCAGAATTTATAGCTTCACTTCTCTTCAACCTATGACAACAAACATTTTTAAATATCTACTTACGTTTCGTGCTGTTTGTTATCACTTTATCAGCGGCTGCGGTAACGGTGATGTGATGTCAATTTGATCATCAAGCTTTATAGCTCCGTAGCTATTTTAGACTCAATATCAGTGTTTTGCAAATTAAAAAACAATAAATTTATCTGTAAATTCAGTGTACAAATAGACTAACAGAAATTTTCAATACAAAATGGGTTGGGTAGAGAAGGGAACATTTTTTTAAATACAATTTAGATGCATTATATTTGTGAATGATAGGCAATCTAAATTGTGTTTAACTTGCATATTCAGCACTTTAATGAATGAACGTTTAAAATAAATGGGAGAAATGGACAATTCTTGTTAAATTTGTCCATTTTTCAGGGTATTGTGAAATGTGGTGGGTGTATTTTGTAAAATGAATATTTTTTGTTGTGGATACGTAGTGTAGAACATAATAGTTTAGTATTTATTGGTAGTTAGTTAATTTATTTGTATTTATTGACGAACATTATTTGTAATTCTGGTACCAAGAACAAATAAAAGTAAATTTTAATAATCCTTATTCAATGCTCCTTTCTAACAAAGGCTATGTTTTCTATTTTTTTGCTATCTAACAAAAAAAAACTATAATGTTCGAGTTCGATCATCCTCAAGGAACTCCATGATCCTCTGACCAAATACAACTACATATGTATAAATTTCGGCCACCTGCGTAGCCTTTTTCAAAGTGGTCAATAGCAATGACAATTTTTTTTATTTATCTGTCTTCCAGGTTTATTTTTTTCTTTCTCCGCTCCTATACAGTGTGCTGCGACAACAGCCTAAACAGTCGGGCACCACGCCGAGATCGCGTGAGGACATCTTTACAAGTTTAAGATGGCCCTGCGTAAAACCAGCTAATGTATAGGATTGTTCAGCCAACGTAAGCCGAGCCAGAAGGCCCTGTAAGAAGGGTTTTGACAACATTGTCACATTTGCGAGCTATAAGTTTTCGGAGATTTGTTGGCGAGAAAAAGTTTTTAAAAGATGGAAGTTGACCCAGGAGGATCAACAGACGACGCAGTTCCACATACTATGAGGAAAGAGCTGAGCGGTGGCGGAAACCGAGCAGAATCAGAAAACATGAGCTCACTGACGCAGATGTCATCGGAGCAGAAAACGAACGAAAAACTGATGCTGAGTATAGACGACCAGGCGAGGCAGATTCGAGACCTAATGAATCCCCTAAAGAACAGACAAAGACCCTAAAATTCCGAATACAGGATCAATTCCATTTCACACCTCCCCCAATTCATCAAATCGAACCACTATTAATGCTTCTACTACCAAGCCAGGGACCACGTTATCTACCTGTCAGGTGATTCCGTCAGCCGATGTTACTTCTCCTCCGTCATCTCGTCCAACCGTCGTGGCATCAACACAACTCTCACGACAAGGGCGCATAACCCCGATCGTCTTACGCGACGGGACGAGATGGCGAACTTTAAATTTCAAGTTTATTTCCCTAGGTATTGAAATAGATCGCGCGGTTGCCGTTGATGCGGGAATAAGGATTATTCCTAAATCCGAGGACGACTACCGTAAGTTCGTTCGCCTATTCCGAGAGGAAGAAGTGCCCCATCACACTTTTCCTCTCCTTTCGGAACGGAACATCCATGCGGTGGTTCGAGGAGTTCCCGTCAACTTTTCGGATACTGAGATTAAGGGAGAACTGGAGCAGAGGGGATATAGCCCTCTTCACATCTTTCGATTGAAGCGCAGCGGCGGCGCGGCCATGCCTTTGGTGGTCGTGATACTGCCCAAGACTGAAAAGTCAGCAAGTGTTCAACGAACACGAACTGCTGGGACTGGCCATTCGAGTTGAGGTTCAGAAAAACTCCAGACTCATCGGGCAGTGTCACCGCTGCCAAAAGTATGGGCATGCGCAGTCATATTGCACTGCACCGCCCAAATGCTTAAAATGTGCAAAGGACCACATGACGCATTTGTGCCCCCTCACAGAAGAGGAAGAACGCAAGTGCGCGAACTGTGGAGAGGGACATCCCGCAAATAGCCGGACTTGCAAATTCACTCCAAGGAGGAACTTGCAAGTTATAGCGCAAAGGCGCAATATATCATACGCGGACGCAGCTCGGGAGGCAACCTTGCCTGCCCCCTCTGCCCAACCTCCCTTGAGCACGCAAAATGTGGACCTGGCAACCGCGCTAAGGTCCTTACAACAAATAATAAGCCCACTGATTAGCGCTACCCAAGCGTTGCAGGCGATATTTCCCGTAAATGTCTAGGTACAATAGTAGACAGCCTGCATTCATCAAAATTCGTTTTTGGAATTGTTTGGGCATGAGGGATATTCCCAAAAAACGGGAATTTCATCAAGCTCTTTTGAATGAAGGTATAGATGTGGCCTTGCTGCAGGAAACGTTGCTTAATCTGGGAGATCGTCTAGCTCTCCCGAATTATGATATTATCCGAGGTGACAGATTGAATGGTCGAGGCGTCGGTTTAGCAGTGTTGATTAAGCGCGGTATAGACTATTATAGAAGCACTAATGCGGAGATGCATAGCATCGAAGCAGCTTCTGTGGTGGTCAATATGGCGGGAGGTGTCTCGTTGAAGATCACATCGGTGTATCTCAGGTGTGGTGCCAGGCTACAAGAGGCGGATCTGGAGGTCCTTTTGGACTACTCGGGTCCGCTTATTGTGGCAGGGGACTTCAACTGCTAACATCGAGCATGGAATTCTAGGTTGAATTCCACTAGTGGGGTTCGATTGTACAACCATGTGATGCGAAATGGGTACCTTATACATAGCACTGAAGAGCCGAAACATCATCCATTCAACCATCTTCAGGCACCAGATGTCATCGATTTCGCGATATCTAAAAACTGTAGATACAGTATCTCTTCTCGAATCTTGTATGGTGTCTCTAGTGACCATCTACCTGTTGTCTTGGATGTGGGCAATGAGCAAACTTCTGAGGAGGCAGCTCCTCCAAGGAAACGCATTGATTGAGACCTATACAAGTTGCTCCTTAGAGAGTTTCCCAATATCCCGATTATAGATGATGAGTCTGGAATAGATGCCGCTCAAGCGGAGTGGACAAGTTTCATTCAAGCAGCTCTACAGCGTGCAGCTGTATTTCCTGTACAACGACACGGCAGACCTTTTTTGCCTGCGGACATTCGTCAGAAAATCTCTGACAAAAGAGCCGCTATTAAGCAGGCAAAAAGGTCTTGTCATCCTGATGACATTCGTAGGGCTACAAATCTTGTCCATGAAGTGGGAAACGCACTGCACGAACTCCGCAACGAGCAATGGAGCGACTTTCTGGCGGGAATGCTTGATTCAAGTATTCCTCTCTGGAGGGTCGCAAAGTCACTCAGAGACGGAAAGCGAAAACAACTCCCACACATCCACGGCCCTGAAGGCATAGTCTTCAGAAAGGAGGATAAGGTCGAGGTTTTTGCTGATGCCATTGAAAAACAGTTCTCTCCCAACTATGATCTCGATAATGACCTCGACGACGAACAGCACATCGTACGATCCGTCAGGAGATATTTTAGAGCCAACGGCGTTAGCGGAGGCACTGAATCCTCTTCAGATGACTCTTCTTCATAAGATTCGTCTGAGGCTCCACATAGCACATTAGCGGAACCCTCCGAGTTTCCACATTGGACACCAGCGGAGCTCCTAAGTCATATTAAAGACCTCAAGGTGCGTAAAGCACCTGGGGAGGATCAAATCACCAACAAGGCGTTGAAGCTGCTCTCGCCGAAAGCCCTGACATACTTGGTGACAATAATCAATGCGACGCTCAAAATCCAGTACTTCCCTGCTGGGTGGAAGACTGCTGAGGTCATCATGATTCAAAAGAAGGTGGGTTCGATATTTCCTCAGGATTACCGCCCCATAAGTCTGCTGTCAGCTCCTTCTGAGCTCGCCGAAAAGGTGATTTATCGTCACCTTGAGAATTTTTCGTCAAATCACCATGTGATTCCTGACGTCCAATTCGGTTTTCCGAGCGTAGCACCGAGCTACAGGCAGTCAGGCTGGTGGAGCATGTAACCAGAGGGTTCACCCTCAGCATGAGTACTGGCATCTTGCTTTTGGATGTCTCAAAAGCCTTTGACAAGGTGTGGCACGCGGGCGTCCTCTATAAACTAATCCAAAAGGGCTTTCCTTTTTGGCTTCTAAAATTACTGAAATCCTTTCTTGAAGGAAGGAAGTTTCGGATCAAAATTAACAATGTTTTGTCAACATCACGACCAGTACGGGCCGGAGTTCCTCAGGGTTCGGTCCTAGGACCAATTCTTTATTCGCTTTTCATCCATGATGTCCCTTCCCCCAGCAACTGTGAAGTCTACCTCTATGCTGACGACACTGCACCAGTCGTGTACTGGTGATCTGGTTCACGATGGGTTGCAGAATGCGGTGGACGAAGTTCTAGAGTGGGCGAAACGGTGGCGGATAAAAATTGATCATTCGAAAACGCAGGCCATTTATTGTACCAAAAAACGTCGCGGCCCCCCAGCAGAGGTTTCTGTAGACGGAAATCTCGTACCATGGTCAAATTCTGCCAAGTATCTCGGTGTCACCCTTGATAAAGGCATGACCTGGCAGAAACATACAGCATCCATAAAAACAAAATTCCAAATTGCGTTTCGGCAACTATATCCTTTGTTATGTAGATCCTCCAAATTGAGTTTGATAAACAAAGTTCGACTATATAAAATGATTATTAGACCAGCCATTACTTATGCATGTGCGGCTTGGTGTTTTCTTGCCAAGTCACACATGCAAAGTCTTCAAGTACTGCAAAGCAGAACTTTGCGGACAATTTGCAACGCTCCATGGTATGTCTCAAATGAGACACTACACAGAGACCTTGACACTCCTTACTTGAGGGATTATGTCAAGCTTCAGGCGCAGCGACGTTATAGTCAAGCGGAATCGCACAGCAACCCTCTGTTGCGTGACTCAGTGGACTACACAGTGGAGCAAGTTCGTAAACATTAAAGGCCACGGCTCGCACTGTAATCAAAAGTTATCGTGAATCTTTAGTAAACTCAAAATTACACTCTAACAAAACCGAATAAAAAGAAATTGTTTAGTTCACCTCAAAATTAATCCGTGTACCAAGTCAAAAAGCCTAGGTGTTTCCTCTTAAACTAAGTATATCTGTTTTTCTTTGTTCTTCTCTTTCCCTTTCTCTTTTTCCCTGACTTTGTCTGGTTTCTGGGCAACCAGGACTGACAGATTCGACTAACGTACATCAGACAGTGACTAATGGGCAAAGGTCCTACGGACCGCCCAGACAAATAAATGACGAATAGTAGCCGAGCCAGCGGTGCAGCGCTTTTATGCTGAATAGCAGTAGCCATGGGATAGCTTTGTCACTTTGACAACAATTTCCACTTGGAGGTTATATTTGATATAGTGGTAGTCACCGTTATTGGCG